GATTTGCGCAAGAAAACAAACTTTTCGGCCTTATTATATTATATATAGTTTACTCGACCTTTTTTAGTGTTCCGCACCCAGAGAGCAACGCGCCTTTATTAGATAACACAACTAGACAGTTCAGTTTTTCATAAATGATGTATTCTGTTGCTGTTCTTACAGAAAGCAAGTAACTAGTTGTCTATGGTTTTGGTAGTAACTAAAAAAGTAAGAACGAATGATATGTCAACGGTACGGAACACTGTACTTTACACGGGTTTATTTGTATTTGTTTTATATTGGAAAATATTTTATGTTTGCATTACACTTCATGATTATTACAATAACGCGTGTAAATTGCGTACATAGAAATGAAGTTAATCATTTCAATCAAAAATACTTACGTGTACTGCTTCTAGTGTATACCAAAACCAAGCAACATAACTGGTCTTTACTACGATAATACAATATATTATATTAATAAAGATAATACGTCAATATAATAAAAATATTCAACCGAAATCGTTTACTATAACAATTCGTAATCGGCTAAAACCGTATCATAGATAAGATAGAGTACGGTGAACGACCGAGCGCCATATTGTTGTTTGACATTTCAATTTAAGCCAATGTCAAGGTCGCCATTTTCTTTATTTATAATTTTGTTTTTATCTGTGACTCTAAATGACATCGCTATTTATTGACTGGCACGCTGGCTGGTTATACAAGTGTTTTTTTTTTCAATAAATTTTGTAGATCTGTGCGCACAATAAATAAATGGGTATCTATCTATTAAATAAAGACTAAATAACTCTTATATAATTATGTTTATTACGAGAAAACATGGCGTACATTTATTTTATCAGCGCACGAGTCGCTAACTAGTCAGTAGGTAGTTATGTATCAGTTTTTATCTTGAAATGGAAAGTGATAGTGTTTATTATTGTTGGCATGTGCGCGTATCTCAGTCAGCTATCTAATAAATGTCTCGATAATATTACGTTTATGATATGTTAGATACGTCATTCTTTAATTAGGTAGTAGGTATATGTAAATCATATTATCTGTGCACAAGAAGATAATAAAGAATTAAGAATAGAGTGACGGCAGCGTGGCTATATGGTTAAACAATGACAAGCATTGCATCAGAAGTTCGACTCCAAAGAAAATATCACAAATAATAATAACCGTAGTTAAATTAAGTTGTAAATAAGTTTAACTAATATATTTTAAACCGTTAGTGTTTTATTTAAATGTGTAGGAACCACTCGCGTAAACTACAAGTAGCATTATAGCACAATCATTGAACCTGCCCCAAACCCCACGCATAGACAACGCCATTGTCCATCCGGGGAACGGTTTACTTTTTTACGTAGATTTGAACACAGGTGTCTATAGTGACAACGGCTGTTATAAACCGTCTAAAATGTCGGGTCGAAAAAATATCAACTATCTAATATAGATCACATTAATTAAATATACTTCTTTATTAAAATAATTAACAGCTTATAATAAAAACAATATTAAAAATAATTTTGGACATGATATCTTACACGTTATTCCCACATGACAGACCGTCTAGACAACAGTATTAGGGTTGTCGCTTCCGAAATAATCTAACGAAACAAACATTTCATACGAAAGGACATTTCGTCACGATGAATACTAGCTGTACCTACTCGCGACTTCGTCCGTGCGTTAATATTATTTATTTTTGCTATTTTTGAACCGTTTGCGTTACACAATGCTCAAAAATTTGAATTTCAACAATTGCCCTAATTTTTTCCACTCTTTAATCATATTGGTCACAGCGTGATGTCAAATTGCCTAAAGCCTTCCTCGCCGAATGGTCTTACAAACACAAAAGTAAATAAATGATAAGTTGTTCGAACTAATAGTACCTGCGCGCGTTTAGCGCAATCGAACAAACTTCTTCAGCTTATAATACTTTAATATTGATTATCTGGCTACCCTAGATTGATAACATACATGAATTACCACGCTATCAGTCGAGTTTCCTACCTTGTGAAATGCGTGAATAACACGCATATTTTTTGTGTAAAAAGGTCAAGAAAGGTGACGTTTCCAACGTGTGGAAATAGGAAAGCGAGTTTCGTCAAATACAGATTAGAAATATAGTACAGATTATAAAATTGGGAGACAATAGATAAAACTACTTGCTACCTGTGTTTATAAAATCAATATGTAGTTGGTGTATAAAAGAAAAGTTATAAGTTTTTATCTAAAAATTTCTTGTAGGTACCACGAGTACAGAGAGTTGGTGCCACCTTCCCTAAAGTACGTTAGGCTGGTGCCCAACACTGGTACAATTAAGTGGTGTAAGTACTAAAAAAGGTAAATTCAAGTATTGTCTGTAGTTTACGCTAGTAGAATATAAACGCATCCATTATTGAAGTTCACATTTTTTCCATTAAATTTTTTTTTACCATACAGGATATATCATTAGTTATTTCTTACGGGTTATCAAGCAGATTTAGAATTTATCGTCTGTAGTTTACGCGAGTAGTAGGTACACATAAAAATAAAATACCATCAACTGTATTAAACGTGAAATATATGAGTTAACCCCGTCCAACGTGATCGTGGCTGTTGTATAGCATCCGAAATTTTGGGTAAGGAAATAAAATACAAATAAGCAATCGTAAAAAGTATTTCATTTAAGTTTTAGTTTTTTTAGAAAGCTCTAAATCATTGAAGTAATTTTCATTTAATCTAAATAATTTAAGCATTCTGTGTATATTACGCGAGCGGTGCTTAAATAAAACGTTTTTAAATGGTTTAAAACGCGAATTCAGGGGCTTAATGGGCGCAATGCTAATAATCAACGATTCGTAAGTTCGTTACCCACCGGAGCAGAATGTTTCTGATACATTTATAATTTTTTTGTATCATATTAGACTTTTAAATAAAACACTTTAACGGTTTAAAACGCGATATGTATTAGTTAAACTTGTTTAAAAATGATTTTTAACTTCGGCCCGACGTTTCGGATGCTTTGCAGCAGCCGTGGTCACGGGAAGACTGGTGTACTACTCGCGTAAACTATAGACAGTATTTCATATTAGTCTTCGTTATCTGCATATTAAATGGTTATAGGAATTTTGAAATTTCGTCAGGGTCGCAAACCGCCGTCGACGGATGAAAAAGCCGTGAAGTCTAATTGCGTATTGAATTTAGTCTCTGCATTTCCGAATATCCAATGCCAAATTAGATCGACAACAAGTGTTAAGATGTTATACGGCTGGGATACCTTCTATCAAGTAAACCCCCCCTTATCTGACACAAAGTGTGCAATTGACTGGTTCGCCTCCCGAACTATATGTGGTGTCGACTTATTTTTGATGACATCAAGTGAAAAAATCGACCCGACGCTTCGTTTCCTAATAATAAACGAATAATAATAATATTGCGTCGAATACTTGTTATAGACTGTAGTATTAGCTCGATCACGCCGACGCTAAACGCAATGCTGTGGCCGCCGCGTGAACACTAGAGACACCATGATGTCGGTGATAGTGGGATATTTTTAACCATTATAAATGACTAACGGTTGAAGCCGGACTTCACAAATAACTAGGTTAACTTCAAAACGTCGGATTATAGCTAAATATAACTATTGTGTGTTTTAAACGGCTTAAAAAGGGTTCATTTCAAACTAGCTCGTGACTTCGTCTGTGTAGAATAATTATTTTGGGTGTCAAAATTTGTTTTTGCAAATACTTTTCTCATATTTATCAATAATAACTGTTATCCTCTACGTCGGCCGCGTCTCGTCGTACTTGTAAGTTAATCTCGAAAGATAGAAATATAGTATCGCGGACACCTTTTAGATCGAAAAGGAATTTATTCTTTAATACATACTCTTTGAGTATCTTGAACGGTTTTTACAGCACAGGCAACGACGTTTTTGTCCACAATCCCAACAGCTTCTTCGCTCCCATTGGTCACAGCACAATAGTAAATAGCCTAAAGCCTTCCTCGATAAATGCTCTATCCAATACAAAATGTATTTTTTTATTCGAATCAATAGTTTCTGAGATTAACGCGTTCAACAAAAACTCTTCAGTTTTATAATATCGTTCTTAACAATATCCGTACGTAGAAAAATATAAAGACACACTTCTGTATCTGTTGCAATGATAAATTTCTACAACAGGTAGTTAATTAAACTTCTGCCACTTGGCTGTTTTCCTTTCTTACTTTCACCAAGAGTCGCTTTTTAATCGATAACTACTGATTCCACTATCTGATATATTAAAATATAAAATTGTTTAAGTGTTTTGCGGCCATTTTGTAATCCTACCTACGCCACAAAATGGCCGCGTAGCGTCTTAGTATGCATCTATAATATATGCGAAAATAAAACTTGCGATATGTTGCGCGAATGTTGAAAATGAAAACAGGAAATAGTAATTTATGCTCAGTTTTGCATCCAACTAATTATCTGAGAAATAATTAAAATCGTTGCTCAGTTATCAACGATGACCTCGAGGTCATTTTGAACTAGTTGAACCCCTCGAAACGTAAACAGATAAGTTGTTTTTGTACTATAATTAGCAAGTTAGTTTATTTGTCTTCAGGTGTATATGTTTGTTCGACAAAATTACAAAGTAAAATAAAAGTATCATAAAAAAATACTCTTGTGAATCAACTATGTATTAGAATTTTCTTAAATGTATATTTAAGTGTCTGCTATCAATAACTACTACAAATTTACTATTTGTTTTTGAAAGAACACAACAAACGACCAATAATTAAAATACATATTAATGAGTTTACCTTACGTTATACACAATGACACAATTATAAACTTATTTTACTTTGTAGACTTACTCAAGTGAAGCAAAGACACTCGTCCAAAAAGTTCCAAAAGAAATGTCGCACTACTCTCCCGTATCAAGACTGGCATGCGCCGGCGCACCATTATAAACGCGCGACGCGTTTAACGCCGTTTAGTTCACCGCTGAGAGCGGCACAATATACACGTATCGTGTTTTAAGATGGCCGCTATAGACATGTTGGCGTCGGAGCAAATATTCTATGGCTGTAGCCCGCCAGCCGGCTTCTTGACAGACTATTCAGCCCCAGTTAGAAGACCAACAAAATTAACGTCGAGAGGCTACTCAGCCCCATCTCTCTCTATACTCAAACCTGTGCAATTATCGTTGAAATCGGCACCCAGAAGCTGCATACGACTGTCAGCGGAGAAGAAGCAGAAGCGAGTAGTATTCGCTGATGACAGAGGATACGCTTTGGAACAAGTGAAGTTCATGACAGAACCATCGCACGTACCACCGTATTGGGCGCTCAAAATAGTCGCGAGTCCACCGCTGGAGCGGAAACCACCACCGATAACCGTTGACTCTTGGGAAGTTAGGTTTTCGCAGCCAGCATCAGACTATTTGGAGTTCAGAAGGAGGATAACCGAGAATTGTGTGGCGTTAGAGAACGTTATAGTCAAACACAATGAGGGCGCTGTGGACGGTACCGTCAAAGTGAAGAATTTGGATTTCGAAAAGGAGGTGTTCATCCGAGCTACGTCAGACGGTTGGAGGACGCAGGAGGACACGTACTGTGCTTTCGTCGAGTCGGGACCGTTGAGCAAGAACGGCCTATCGATGTACGACACTTTCGGCTTTCGTCTTCAATTGCCAATCCATTCGAGGAAGTTGGATTTTTGCGTGTGCTTCCACTGCAAGGATAAGGAATACTGGGATAATAAGAATGGTGAAAATTACACAATAGAAAAGTCTTCAGTGAGAAAGTCACCAGCGATATCATGTGCTAGGATAAAATATGGGAACTCCTGGAGTAGATCGGATGTTGGGCACACCCCTTATTGGTGAACAGTGGGTGTTGTGCTCTTGGCTTGAAGTGATCTTGTGATTTGTGCCATATAACTTCAAATGGTAAGTGGAGTTCAATACAGGGAATAGTTGGTTATTGCATGACTACGATCTCATTTGGAGGATGACGAGTGAGATTTCTAGTTTAAGTAACTTTAAGGATTTGATTGATTTCCAAAACATAACCAACGTTTTGTTAATCGTTGACAGCTGTCTTTAGTTGCTTAACAGGTCTTTAAATGTGAAAGTTTAAAGTCGGATGACAATGATAATATGTTTTAAAGATTTTGGCAGTAATAGCAATCCATTTCCTAAAAATTATAAATCTATTTTAAACTATTTTAAGCGCAGCAGCCACGGTCATGGTCACGACCGTACTTGGTGCAAAACTGGCAGTAGTGTCGGATAAACATGAGTGCACTAAATGAATACGCGTTTTAAACGGTTTATTTTTTAAAACTGCAGACTTTACTTTAAAATATTTAGTGTAAGTATTTGGAAACTTTATAATTTTATATGAATTGTAGGTACGTGATTTATTATGATTCTACGATAACGAATCTTAATCTATAAAATGATAAGGAACAAGCTAGACAAGGCAACTGAATACAATTTTAATACGCTAATATATTTAACACTACCATAGGAAATAATTTGAAGGTTTGAAGTACAGACAACTTGTAATGTTGTTTATAGGGTGACATCAAAGGTCAATACTGTACTAAGACCTTCAATTGTGGTCAATCGTAACAACGTCATGTTGGTTATGTCATTTTATACTTTTAAAATTTCTCGTAACTTCTCTTCGTGGTTCATCGGGGTCAGACAGTCAATAAACTTAAAAAAATTGGTACAATAGTGTTGAAAACGTTTTCACCTTCGTTGCTTAGTCATTTTTAAAATTGTTCTGTCAAAAACATAATGTACATATAATTAACATAGTAATAAAAGACATTACACGTAGTTTAACATATATTTTTTTAAGCAATAGGTATATGAGGCAGAGTGGATTAAAACAAAAAACATGATTTTCAATTCACTCATTCAAAGAGGAACTTAAAATGTGTAATTTCTGTGTAAGAATTGTGTTCATATGTTAAATAACTCAAGCCATAAAATTACAGTTAGGCTACTCTGCCTCTAGCGGTCTTTGATTTAATCAAATAAGTTTTAATCCGCGTATGTTGTAAAACCGGATTCTTTCATATGTCAACATTTCGTCTATTAATACGAAAGCCATCAAATCATCTTAAACAAGATATAACACGTCGACCTTTTGATTGTGAGCAAGGACAGTTGTATATTTCCTTAGTTCTGTTGGCACAGCAACATAAAATTCGATATAAATTACGACAATGTGTATACACTTTTTTCTCAATAGATGGCGTTAGTTCACTTTCCAAAACTACAGAGTAAGCAAAAATTACAACTCGTCGTGTTGTCATCATCAAATAAGCCAGAAACACAAGGGCAATTGAAGAATCAAAAAAATGTTCAAATAATTTTGGAAATGAATCAAATCTCATTATATTTTAATAACAGTCTTTAGTCTGATGAACTTATTTTAAGTGAATACGCGTTATTTTGCTAGTTTTATTTAGTTGTAAGTAAACGTAAAGACTGATTCTCTGTTACCAGACAATTTTGATATAATCTGTATAATTTATCTAGTTAGTTTTAAAATTAAGTCATATTTGCGATTCCTAAATATTATACGGAAGAAATTAAGTGTATTTTATTTTATTTATTTAGCCTTTTATGGAAATAATTAATACTAAAAAAATGCACAATATGTTAGGTGCTACAAAAGTCTGTTTAAATAAATAATATAACTAGTTTTAATGGCGACATTGCGACAGACTAACAACGAATAAGGTTCTTGTATTTATTGTAATAAAAAAATGTTGATTATTGAAATATATTATGTTATTCAAATATTCCTGATAAAATAATATTTCTAAATAAGTTACTGAAATTTCAGTCATTTCATGAATTCAAATAAAACACTTTGACGGTGTAAAACTCAATACATTTATATTAGTTGGCAGCCTCCCTATGACCACGGCTGCTGCAAAGCATTCGAAACGTAGGTTAAAGTGTTTTATTTCAATAAGTTACTCATTATTGCATTTAACAGTCAATTTTGTTTTGCAAAACTGATATGTCAAATCGTTGTTTAAAAATCACATATTATTTTAAATCTAACATAGAATGTATACGTAGTTTGTTTAATTTAATTAAAAAATATTTAAACGAATATGTCCAAATAAAGAAATAATAGTCAAGTCAAAGTGAGAGATTGTCTCTTGTTTTTTATATTGTTTGTGTTCGAATGACTGTAATTTATCTGAATAAATAATGTTTGATTATTTGTAAGAATCGATTTATAATTGTTTATGACTTCTCTTGATTGTGGTAAATAAATTTGAAATAAAATATATTGTTTTTTTCTTAATCCTTCACACATATACTGACTTAAGTAACTATCTCTTAAGTCGATATAAACGTTATTAGTTTTGTAGTTGTATACAAACAGTGTCTGTAGTTTACGCGAGTAGTTTAAATAAAACACTTTAACGGTTTAAAATGCGATATTAATTAGTTAAACTTGTTTAAAAAAATATTTTAACTACGGCCCGACGTTTCAGATGCTTTGCAGCAACTGTGTTGTCGCGGGGAGAAATTATTATATATCGCGTTAACCGTTAAAGTGTTTTATTAAGTTGTATACAGATCTTGCGTTTTTGTTAAGTAAATAGCCGTTCAAATCTCGGGTGAGGTAAATTATAGGTAATCCAGTCCAATTTTAAAATTTAAAATCGTAGGCGTAGGTAAATATAACTTAACGAAGCCATTTCGCGTTTTAAACCGTTGAAAGAGTTTAAGATAGTTTAAAAAAGTGTGAACTATCTCGTTGATCCTATAGTAGCAATGTATGGCTAAAAACAACGGGTCGTTGGTACGAGCCCCACCGAGGTCAACATATTTCTAATTTCTTCTAAAACATTTCGGACTTTGCTCACGAACCACCCTCAACAAAAGCCGTTAAGACTAATCGCGTTTCGGTTACAGTCTGTAAACCGAATATTAAATCTATAATAGGTCGACAGCGTACCTCGGTTAGATGTTATACGGTTTACATCAGTGAATCACGCTTGTCGGTCGTCCTATCATAAAAGACTCGTTTAACACACGCTAGAGGTCGCCACAACTTATCTAGACACTATCGAGAAAACTAATTACAGGCTGTTACTACAACATTGGTTTTATAGCACAGAATTGCAAATAAGCGGATAGACGCACTACCGGATCGCGATAGTACTCTCGTTTCGACGCTGTCCCAACGCTGGGCTCAGGTTACAGAACCCACCATACTACGTCAGTGTGAGTCGGTGGAAGTATACTATTAAACTCATGATAGCGAACTCCGAAGCGTTAGTAATTTGGTTGTATAAAATCTATTGGCTGTAGTGTTTGTTTACGCAACTATTAGACATTACGCATTACACTTTAACGGTTCAAAATGCGAAATATATTGTAAAGCCTTATTAACGATATAAAATAGTTTAAGAATATATTTCACATTTGAAACGGTTAAATTGTTTCATAAAACATTGTATGTAAATATTGTTTGTAGTTTGCGCGAGTAATGCACATATAAATAAAACACTTTAACGATTTAAAACGCGAAATGTATTAATTAAACTTGTTTGAAAAAAAGGAGTCTCCCCGTGATCACGTCGTTGAAACGTCGGGCCGTAGTTAAAATAAATTTAGAATAAGTTTAACTAATATAATTCGCGTATTAAACGGTTAAAAATCAGTAGTTGACGCGAGAAGTACGCATTAAAATAAAAACACTGTTAACGGATTAAAACACGATTTCTTTTATTTATTGATCGATGCTTCACAGCAGCCGAGGTCACGGGAAACTGAAGGTGGAGGGTGTCCCTAATGTTAAAGTAATCAGTTCACTCGTAGCGGGTATTTGGAGAAACTCGCTGGGTCATCACAGAACTGACTCTCGGTGATCTCGTGTGGTATGCATGTTTTTGGTATCTAGTAGAGTATGAGAGTAGTATTTTGGTAGTATGGGATCCCATCACCACCACCACATCTTGAGGCCGTCCCTATTGAGATTTGGATGTTTCTTGATTTAAGTTGCCCGATATCCAAGGCTGGTACACGAACCCATTGAAAAATCGGGTCGTAGTTAACATAATTTAAAAATAACGTAATTACTATAATTCATGTCTAAGCCGTAAAGTGTTTTATTTTAATAAAAGTTTATAATTTTGGTACCATTCCGCAAACACCATCTAGTACATATCTTTAAACTGTCGTTTCAGTTGCGTATGCGCCGACTACGTCATTGCCCTGAGGTAACACCAAAATAATATTGTAACTACCCGCAGTTTGCATTTATACTTATATAAAGCTGAAGAGTTTCTCGTATTAAAAAAATATTTTTGTGTTGGATAGACCACTTGAGGAGGAAGACTTTTTGCTATACATGACATCAGGCTGCGATCAGACGACCGAAGGACCTAGATAAAACGGCGGGGCGCGGACAACGTCGTAGGTAACAGCTATCTATACTAATATATAAGGCTGAAGAGTTTGTTTGTTTGAACGCTGTAACCTCAGGAACTACGGGTTCAAAACGAAACATTATTTTTGTGTTGGTTAGAGCATTTATCAAGGAAGGCAACACCAACAAACAAAATTACAAAACAATTTTGGAAGCCCAACGGCTGCTGCAAAGCATTATAAACATCAGGCCGTAGTTAACAATATTCAAATAAGTTTAACTTATATTTCTATCACGTTTTAAACCGTTAAAACGTCTTATTTAAACGTGTACCACTCGCGTAAACTACAGACAGTTTTGTAACTGACACAATTATAAAGCAATGTTACAGTTGAACGCGGTTGATATGTTTAATACCAGGCGAAACATTTGTACATCAGCGGTGTCTTCTTTTAACTCTAACCATGGT